TCAGGTACTTGATTGAGTACTGAATTTACAGTTCACAATGCGCATGTGCCAATTTAAAAACCGGAGAGTGAATTAAATCGATTTGGTCAAGTTTTCTTGTGGATGATGTATTTTGAGACACTCTATACATATTGAGGGATCGCACGTTGAAACGTTACATCCTCGTTAAACTGTCATGTTTTTTCGTAAATGACGTAGTATTTTGATAGACCCTGTACACATTTAGGGGTTGAAACGTTAGGCCTTCCAAGTCGTCGTCGTCTCATTACAATTTTTATCGAGTCGTATTCCTAACCCTTCATACTTAATTCTGAAACCGGCAACGTTGTTACATCGCCCCATAAACAATGATTTATTTTACAACCGACAACACCATCCTTGCGCTGGCGACGGTTACCTCGATACCATCTCCATTTCTCTCTGCATCGATTACGTCGCACGTCTCTTTCCCACTCACCAAAGTCTCTCTCTGAAACACCAACGACGCGCTACCTTGAAGTGTGCTAGGAAGAAGGCTTGTTCCCCCACTCTAATTTTGAGCGTTTAAACTTCAAATTATTCATATATTCATTGAATTTATCATTCCAGGCGTTTGGTGATTGCTTCAAGCCATTTATAGATTATTTGAAACTTCAAGGCTGTCTGGAATTCTCCTGAAAACTTTTCCTCTCAAATTACAATTTAAAAAAGCATTTTAATATCAAGTTGCTTAAGAGTTAAATTATAGCGATTACAGATAGATATTGATATTCCCAGTGTCTGAAGACGGGTTATTGGTGCCTGGTGCAATATATCAATCAATCAATCAAAATGTACTCTATTGTGGAAGATGAAATCTAATTGACAAAATGTTAACATTCTGAGAAATATAAGATACACAACTTAAAAGATATTGTCGAAGATAAAATCTCAATGAAATCAGAAGCTTTTTTACAGACTTTTTAAATTTAGTGGTGCATATGTTATGCCTTTGATCTCAATTGGCAAATGGTTAAACATTTTTTCCATAATATATGAAAGACCTCTCAATTTTTGATGATATTGGAATCGGTAAACTTCAATTGAGCTTATTTCTGGTATTTCGTCGAAGTGAAATGAAAATTTCCGTCCTATATTTTTTTTTGCATCAGACATACCATTTCCAATATAAGTATGGAAGGCAAGGTCAAGATTTTATGCCTTCTGAAGATAGGTCGACAGGAATCCCTGAATCCAACTCTACACATATTTTAACTCCTCTTTTTTGTAGTACAAACACCCTATCAAACATGTACAGGCAACACGTTCCCCAAAAACATCTGGAAATCAATGAGAGCAAAGTGCACATTTTTTGCCACAATAGTGCCCAGTTCATTTGATAATCTGAGTGCAAAGCATCCTAATGAAATTTTTTTTAATAGGTTATTTATGTGACCTTCAAAATCCAAATTTTTATCAATTTGTAATCCCAGAAATTTTGCTGACATTTTGTTTTCTATTAATTGAGTACCCAGGTAAATATCCAGTGTGGAGCACTTGAGGGTGATGATGCTAGTTTTTGATATATTAAATGACAATATATTATAAATGACAAGAGTTTCATGAAACCTATACTCAATGGGTCGTCATCGAGATGATGTATCATTCCACTTTGCATCATTGCAGAGATCTAAAATAGTATCAATTTTTTTTGCTGTGGATTCTTCCAAAGCACTTCTTTGGACTCGATAATATTTGACCTCCTTGGAAATTAAAACAGACTCATGGTCAGAGAGTCCAGTACTGACAACTTTACAGCTGATTTTTCGGGTATTTGAACATACATAGTCAAGAATAGTACTTGAATATTTAGAAATACGTGTAGGAGAATCAACATGCATTGTGAGATCGAATGTGGTCAGCATGTTTTCTAGTTCCAATGTTGCTCTAGAGAGTTTATTTTCAAAATTTATGTTGAAGTCACCTGTAACTATAACAGGTGCCTTGGGAGGGATTTGCAATAACAACATTTCTAGTCGCTCTAGAAAAATATATTCATTACATAATGGTGATCGATAAAGGCATAAAATGTATAGGTACATCATAAACTTGATAGTAAATCATTGAAAATTCAAATTCTTTTTCAACCAACATATAATCATATTTGATAAAACTAACTGTTTCACATATTTTTTCGTGGTCGAATAAGACAGTCGTATAAAATAAGCTCCGTTGATATATAAATAACTAGGGTTCTAGCAAACACAAAAATTTGGCGTTTTCGTGTATTCATTACGTATTGACTGTTTATACATTGAACATAATCTTGTTCAGATAGTGCAACTAGAAGTGCCTTTTAACGAAGATATTAGGTGAGTCAAACACACCCAATGTGGAGGGGAGGTAGATCTAGAATGATATCCATGGCCACCGACGATGTGGTACTGATGGCTAGACAAGCCTGTCTGAGCCAGAGAGTTTCGCCTGGGCCATTTTCTGTGAAGCCTCCGACCACCAGGCAATTGCATCATAAGTGATCCTTGGTCTGACAATCATCACATAAATCCAATAGATTGTTTGGAACTAAACCCCAAGTTTTACCACAAATCCTTTGACATGTCCATAGGGACAGTCTGGCTTTTGTGTTCAACTTTTTCCATGTGAGCGTTCCAGGTGAGTTTTTTTATTAAGGGCAATGCCAAGATTTTTCACCTCCGGTCCAAATGGAATGACCTCACCATTGAGGGAAAGTGGCATTAGATCGTCCAATTTTCTCCAACTGGTGAAGGGGATTATCGCAGTTTAGCAGGGATTGACAGACATCTGCCCCTTAGGCGCCAACTGTGAACAACGTCCATCGTGCTTTGGAGGATATCCTTCCCGACGTGGACCTTGCCAAGATGACGAGGTCATCTGCATAAGGTTACAGATGTACTTTTCTTCTGACGAGGACATCGAGCAGACTATCCATTAGGGCGACCACAAAAGGGGAGATAGTACACCACCTTGAGGGCAGTCCCTGGTGACCCTAAACCTAATAACTTCGCCTTGAAGAGTCGTAGTTGCAGTTCCGTTTACCAACATTGCATAGATCCAGCCGGTTACGGTCGATTCTATACCTTTCCTAGCCAGAGAAGATCCTATTGATTTAGGTAGTGTATTCTCAAATGCAGCAACCGCAATCTCCTTGTTGTCAAGGAATCGGGATAAATGAAAACAATATTTTTTACAACAATATCAACATCGACAATTTTGTGACTTCTCTGGTTTTGGTAATGGAAATCTCGTATATATCATGATAGTGAAATGTAGTCTTTTCGATTTGGAACATTGATTACATACAGAAAAAAATGTATTAATTATGCTCTTCCAACTGAGAAAAGAAGGAATTTTCCATAGGGAGGTACATAAAATATTAAAACTAAATTTGAAATAAAAATTTAATATAATACTATCAGGTATCTGATATCCAGATCATTGAAAGAAGGCACTCCAAGCAAGTTATTTTTGTTTCAGAAACATTTCCATTGGGCGAAAAAAAATGTTCTCAAATATCTGAACGTAAGCGGGTTCCTAAACACTTTCATTATTAGATGCGTTTTTTTGGCGCTCGTGTATTCAAAACGTATTCGTCTGTAATTCAAATACATTCATTCTGGCGTTGAAACGGTGACTCACATCAACTGTGATTTGATACGTAATGATGTTCAAAACTAACGTGACGTTGGTTTTGAAACGGAATTTGACGTTACGTTACGTCAGTTGTCAGTTTCTGCTTTATTTTGATAAGATATTTATTTAAATAGGATACCCTAATATACATACATAATTTCATATTATAATTTTTAAAATTTTACTGCAGATGTATTTACAATGGGATTTCATCTCCAAACAGTCATCAATTATGCATCTTTATGCATAATTGATGAATCATTATTATGATCGTTATAATTTATAAAGTGCTGAACACTTTTTATATGTTTCAAGGACGTACAAAATGAAGCTGGGAAATTATTACTTGAATGTCATTTATTAGATCATATAACACTTTGATGATTTCATTGGCTTCTTTATATTGTTGGTTGACTAGATGAAGAAGAATAGCTACTTGTTGATCCACATTTTGAATAGAGAAACAATTCTTGTGCACTAATTTTAAAAATGCAGATACATTTGTAATATTTATGCAAAAAGATATATGCACAAATCCGATTCTTATTGAGATTAGAGAACCTGCACGTCGTCTTGATTTCAAACAGGTTGGAGCCTAGCTCCCTTACCCTTTGGACTGATCGAGATTAGAGAAAATTGAAAAATTTGTTTTTATTATTGAATTTGACATCTGACACAACTTGAATCATTTCATTCTGGCGAATCTTATTAATGACGTCACTACGAATCGTTTTTGAATACACGCTCGAATACGATTAAATGCCAGAAAACACCTTAGATCAGACGATTTTTAGTTATCTCTTGTCATATTTAAAAAAATTGGTTGTTTCATGTATTTTTGGAAAATGATTTACTCTTGGGGAAATTTAGCATTATTTGTCAGCACATCAGTATCTTCAAAAAAATAATTCATGACACGTTCTTACAGACACAATAATGTCTTCTTTGATGTTACTCATCCTCGAATAGTTGTAAAAAAATGTTTGCATTTCAAAAAAAAATATAAAATACAGTTTTGTAATAGAAAAAAAACCATCGATCATATGTTAGAGGTTTTGTGATGATGTTGCCACTAATCTGAATTTGTCAGACAGATAGAATCAATTGTTCGTTATATATTTCGCTCCGTTGACTCTGTGATCAAGTGGTATCCAATTTGCATTTGCTCGCTTTTTAAAGCCCAAAACACCTTATTATGTGCATAGAAATGGCATAGTCGAAACATAATTTGTCACCCATGGAATTTGTCCATAACAGTATCACAGTTCTTTTTTTAATGTAGTCATTCACTGTATGCAATGTGAAAGTAACGTAATGACCAATCCAACTTGTGTGGATATGCCTATGATATGAACCCTAGGGAATGGAAAACACAAAATGTCAATTGTCAATTGAATGCTCAACAGCTCAACTCACTTAACTAGTTAACTCCTAACTGCTAAAATGTAACATTTCGAAGAACTGAATAACAACAAAGAATGTTGAAGTAAGTGTTACCTGAAAATTATGTACTGTCTTCAGTGGCTCATTCCTGTCCTATTGATGCCGAAACCTTCAAATCCTGCTCTTGTACAAACTCATGTTATGTTCATGGTGCTGTACCTTATTGGATTTTTCTTGGAGAGAAAGCCATGTACTATATGCAGTTTGGTATTTCTAGTTACTGTCTTCCTCATTTGCTATAGTGGACTTGGCAATTGTCTAATATGGGATTCACAATGCAACAGTGAAAATGGATAACAGGGTTTTGATGTAACCAATCCTAGTCTGGAAAATAGCCTTAAGATGATTGAATTATTTCCATTCCTCACACTATGAAAGTCTTGTTAATTGCCGGTTGTTAGAAGGAACAGATTATTGATAACTATTCAAATGTGAATATTTTTGTATGGTTTACTTCAATTGAGTGTTTTAAATGTAGGTACATGTGGTTGAAAGTACATTATTTTCAAGCCAAAGAACTATCTGTTGTGAATTTGTAATTCATTTATATGAATGAGAATTTTATTGATAAATACTATGAGGACCTGTTATCAAATAGCCATGTTTTGTTGATTTATCAGCTTAGCGACTATTTCCATCCATTTAATAACATAACTCCAAAAAGTGCTTCTTTTTCACAATTTTTGCAGATTTTTATTCTAGTTGTAAATATATTCTTTAAAAGTGAAGTATGGTTTCAGTACCCGTCTACCAGTTTTGTCAATTTTTATAATAACAATAATGTAAAAACTATGACCATGGAACTGAAAAATTAAAATCTACATCAAAACTATTATTTATTAGTGGATGATATAATTAGAACATATTCAATAACACATATTTCATTCAAGCAGGTTAGGTTAGGAATCACACGTTAAAAGGTTGGTACTTAGCTCGCACAAGTTTCGACTTCTGAGGGTTGTCGTTCGTAGGGGGTGCGATAGCTGGTTAACGGAAAAAACATATTTTAAACATATTTTTTTAACAAACATTACAATATGCTAATTTCACTACTATTATTACTGTGGTTGCAGTAAGACTTAGATGAAAATATTGGAAATTCATTACTGAAACTATTATTGGCACCAATAATGTAATTACTATGACAGTGGTCCTTATGTGAAACATTTGTATTTATAATGGAAGGGAGTAATAAGTTGAAATATCTTTATTAGTAGAGTCAAATCATATTGAAAATGAGAAAATATTGGATGAAAATATTGGAGTCATTACTGCAACTATTATTGGCACCAATAATGTAATTACAATGACAGTGGTCCTTATGAAAACAGATTCTTCACTTATTTCATGTCTTGGCACATTTTGTTATGCAATCTGTTTTTGTCCTTGTCATGCCACACTAATGTGGTGCCGTCAGAAAATAAGCTGAAGCTTCCTGTAATCGATATGTTGGTCAAATCATTAATGTATAACAGAAACAGTATAGGACCCAACACAGAGCCTTGAGGTACTCCACAATTTATCTCTCCCACGTCCGAGTTAGATGACGTTCTTACAAATTGTTTTTTGTTAGAAAGGTATGAACTAATCCAAATATGACTCTTGTTCCTAAAACCATATCTTATGAGTTTCGGAAGTAATACGCTGTGAATGACACAGTCAAAAGCTTTGGATAAGTCACAAAGCACTGCTGCAGTGGCTTCCCCTCTGTTGATTTCATTATACACCTATTGTAATACTGTTGATTTAGCTTCACTTGCACTCTTAAAATTCTGAAAGCCATACTGATGTGTACTCAATATCCCATTACTGGTCAAAAATTTCATTATTCTTTTTTTACCAGTTTTTCAATTATTTTTGCTAAGGTTGGGATGAGCGATATAGGCCTAAAGTTTGCTGGATCTTCATTGTTGCCTCCTTTATTGAACAGCGCAACCTCGAGGATCATACAAAAATGTTGATTGAAATGTGTTCAGATGTCACCCTGTATAGTCACTCCCCTCCAGGATGCCAGGCACAACCCTGAGGTCGACGGAAAGAACAAGCAGAAGTTTTCAAACATTCAAACTGAACAGACACTAAATTACAATTTCTATCTGTATGTTATTGAATATATGAGTTTTATGTTCTCGTTTTTCCAAAACTAAATGCAGTGCAACTTCATTACAATACCTAACGTAATGGTCCTATCAAGCCACATTTAAATCCAGTGAAATTTCAATCATAACACAAATCAAATACAAAATCCTGAAGAAAAAGCAGCCCTATTCAACAGCGCAGTGGATCACTGTGATCGGCTTGCTGTTGATATGTTTGCATCTGCTCCCGGGTTTGTTAAAATTGTAAAATGTGCGGCTCTTACAATCACTTTCTTTTTTTGTTATTGACGTGGCTGTTGAAATTCAGTCTGGAATCAAGCGTAACACCCAGGTAATTAACTGTCGATTTTGCATGTAAGATATGTTGGAAAACGCTGATTGTTGGAGAAGTTGCGGAATTCCGATGATTAAAAATGATGAATTGAGACTAAGACTACTCAGTATTTTAACTCTCAGTTTTCTGTCAATTAGCAGATTCTAGATAGTTACTACAGCCCAGTTGATGCAGTTTGAATTAAAGACCCTTGTGCCAGATGCTATCAAATGCTTTGTTCATATCCAGAAAGATCGCTGCCGTTTTGTTTTTGTTCAGCTTTGTTTTATAGTAGATATTCCTTGTCTAAATCAAAACTAGTAGCTTGGAATTTTAACATTAAGCAGTTGGGGGTAAACGGTTTCGTAAAAGTTTTTTAAAGTTTTTACCAATTACAGGCAGGAGAGTAATCGGAAGATAACTGTCTGTGAGGGAATGATCCTTGTTTGGTTTGGGAATTGTAATTATTGTGCCCATTTTCCAATTGTCGAGTATATAATGCGTTTTAAAGCATATGATATACTCGTGAGTCTCATAATCCACCTTTCTCAACATGTTTCTTGTGAAATGCCCTGGAGCTGAGTTTTTTCCCTGATATAAGATGTCAAAATATTCTTCTTTATCTACATTGAATGTATTATTTTCTTGTACGGGTATCTGCGAAAAAAAGTTTTCGTACCAATCGCTCACATTTTACATCCTTTTTGTATTTGGATAATTTCCGTATTTCATTCCAATAGGATTTGCCTTTCTTTTCATGAATGGCTTCAGATATTTGAATCCAATTGTGGGTTCTGTATTCTTGAATAATCAAATTTTGAATGTTCGTGTTAAACTTATTAATTGAAGCTTTAGATGTTGGATCTCTGTTTGCTCTATATTAATCAAACTCACAATAAATGGCGGAAGCTCAAGTGTACAGAAATTATGATTAGTTTTCGGTGTATATTCTATAATTGTTTCAGACAATTCGTTTCAAAAAAAGTATATTATTTGTAGATGGTTGATTTCATCTTCCGAAGTCTATGTAACGTATGATTTCTCCTGCTTCTGTCTTGGTCTCCTTGTCGAAAGATATTTTGAGAGCTTAATGATCAGATCCTAGATCGGGTGTTACCTCTACTTCTATAATATTTGATATAATGTTATTTGTATGTAATACCTCTGAAGTTGTGTCGCTGTTGTTTGGCGTAATAAATGTTGGAGGAGTTTCCCATTTTTGAAAAGGAGCATTTGCCAGGAAGGTATTAAGCTGTCTCTTCTTCATTCTATTGTTGACATTGAAATCTCCGATAATGATAGCATATTCATAGGGACATGCTTTTGTAAAAATGGCCTCTTCAATACTAGCTGATGGATGTATGTACACTAAAAAAATGTGCAGTTTTTCATATAGGAAGGGGATTTTGAAGTGTATACATTCATTTAAATGATTATTTATGGCTGGAGGATTTGCTCGTCTGGCTTTTAGTCGGGGGTGTGTGTTTGGACTAGAGTACTCCCTCTGGTCCGGTTATGTAATTGATTACCAGCGGCGGCTCGTCAGAGAAGGCAAGGGAGGCTTAGCCTCCCCATAAAATTTGCTATTCATCACAATAAATTAAAAGATATTGACAAATAATTATGATTATTTTTTTCTAAACATGCTTGGGAATCATTACTTTACCATTAATTTTTAATATAAATTCATAATATGCCCGAAAAAACACTATCACTTACTACGTAGTACGTACCACACTGTATCCTGCATCAACAAAACTCAAAAGCACCCCCCATGAACGAATAACTAAGAAATCATCAACCCGAAATAATAAATTTCATACGTTGCTAGGGAGCCAAGCCTCCGACCGCTTTAAAAAACACAGGCTCTGCGAGGCCGATCTAATCAGTAACATACGTCCCGATTTGTAATTTTATTTGTAGAAATTATAGCAATAGAGGAGGCTAGCCTCCAGTTGGTCTCCGTTAGTGTAAGACTGCGTTTGTTTTTTATTTAATTATTCGGACGGGATGCCGTGACGGATGATTATATTTGTTATTTGTGTATAAAACAGGCAGTATTGTATTATAGCAGTGGTTTTTGGTGATATTTTTAATGTTTTCAAAGTGTTTTCTTTCAATTTCAAGGTGTTTTCAGGTTTTCACTCTTCGGTAAGTTTTTTTTTCATT